AAAAAAAAATTGTAAAACACAAAATAAATTGGGAAGACTCCAAAACCCCACCCAATGCCATAACCATCCAAAATCACAGTAAACTGCTAAGAACAGTAGTTTTGCCTTCGGGAGAAGACGGTAGAATAGAATTTTTTTTATTTTTTGGCCATCGGAGAAGAGAAGTTGGAAAGTTGGAAAGTTGTTTAGGTTGCGTGGGGCGCCGTAGAAGAAAAGCTGAAAGATAGAACCGATGAAGATGAACGGAGGAGGATATTTGATTTTGGCACTTTTTCTTTTTGAACATCAAAACATAGCAACAAAATGAAATAAATCTGAAGAGTGAGGATTTCATCTGGTGGATTCCTACATTTGAGTCTTTGATTGCCACTTTGTAAAAAAATTTGATTTTGACTATGTTGAAGATGGATGGAGAACTGGAGAAGAAAGACTTGGAAAGAGAGAGAAGGTAGGAGAGAGAAATGAGGAAATGAAAAGGAGAAATAAAATAAAGAACCGACTGTAGTCGGTTCCCAGTTCAGATATCAAATTCGGTGACTACGTGGCAGCATAACGTGGAGGGTGCTAGAGCGAGTGACGAACGGCGATTGCCCTTAGCATTCCTCTTCTAAAAATATAGATGCCTCATCAATTTAGCTAAACATAACATGCCGCAAGGACTATTAGGTAAGAATTAAATGGCAGGCATAATCAATAGGCAGCTTACCTTGACCAAACCAAGCCTTCCATCCATTAGGCTTATTGTCAGATTTTAAGAGCCCTTTTTTTCCTATATTCTTAAATTGCCCAGAACAAAATCATTTCTTCAACTTTCTCTATCTTATTTGATTTCATATTTTACATTTTCTTTCCCTCATTCGGCAGATAAAACTGATCTATCAATATTGGTTGAGAACCAAGACATTTCAAATCTAATGCATTTTAAACTGAAGATGCACAGACACGGTAGAAAATGATGCGTTTTAAAGGCCAGCATCTACAAACAACCAAAAGAAATTAGAAAATTGAGCACAATATTCTTTTCTGAGGTTAGAAAAACTCACAGATAATATCAACTGAGAATCTATATAGAAGAAAGTGAAACATTATACCAGCACCTAAACCAAACATATTCACAATACAAACTTCAAGACATCTGGAAAAGATGAAAAGGTGAATAGAAGAATAGAGATACCAACTAAGCACAAAAGCATTTAATTTGTTGTTATTTTAGAATCCATTAATAGGCCAAGGAAATAAATAAAAGTCTGATTAATTTTATTAAAAAAAGGGGGAAAAAGAAGAGAAAAGCTGAATGAACATAGCTATGGAGAGAAGTTCAGGCAATCAGTAAAACCAAAATCTTGAACGGCAAGGGCTTCCTGCCCATTGTAATTTGTAAAGCAAAGCCACGATAGCATATAAATAATCTTGCCTGAAGCTCTGCTAGTTTGCCTCCCAAATGATATGCTAAACGTTGGTCACTGAAATGAACAAGAAATCCATTACCTATTTTCAAAAAAAAAAAGAAATGAACAAGAAAAATCAAAGCACTTTTACCTAGAAAATAGAAAAAGCAGCAAGAGCATCCACTGTACAATTTCCCAATTTTTTCTTATCTAACAGTTGCAAGATCTACAAGCCCATAAAATAGAAAAAGATGGCTGCAAAAGTTAGCCTCCTAAAACTGGGCCCAGAAGCCTGCTGGTAATTAACAAGGAGGTATGAAAGTCGGCTCAAAAGCTGAAGCACTAACTCTTCAAAGCCTTTAGAAAGCTAAGGTAAAAGGTTATGATCAAGAAGTTGAGGATAAATAAGGTACCTGTCATAAACGCCCAAAAATGCTCCACAAATGTCACGAACACATAGCTTTTGATCGTGTGAAACAACATTGGATCAAAATGGTTAGTGCAGATGAAATATTAACTTACGAATGGACTAAAAAGAATTTGAATAAAATTAAAAGAGATTTCATACAAATAAAAGTGTTACTTTTTAAAAAGTTTTAATTAAAGATATGACATTTTTTTTTTACAAATTAAGATTATCATTTCTTAAAAGTTTTTAATTAAGGGTATGACCTTTGTAAAGAAAAAATGATCATATCCTTACTTGGAAAAATTCTAAAAAACTTGTATCATTATTTGTACAAAATCTCTTAGAGAAGGTGACTGACTGTTCATGCATTAATTTCAAAAATCAAATTCCACATTTTCCTTATAAAATTATATTGCGTCTAAGTTTTCACGCCTAGTTTTTCTCTTAAATTGGTCAACTTTCTCTTTCTGTGGAACTGAAAGAAAGAAATACAGGACTCACAACGCGAACATCAGCAGCAGGGTAGTTTGAGGAATCCAAAACAGGCTCCTGGCAAGGAGCTAACAGATGTGGAAAAACAAATATCCACAATTAAGTCATAATGCAAACCATCAAGAAAAAGAACAGTACACGTTAATGACACCATTAAAAGTTCACAAATTGAAGCCTTTGTCTTTAGTGCTTCAGCGTCTTCTAAAGCGTTTTGTGCCTCGTCTACCATTCCCCTCTCACCTAAAAGACGAGAGAAAATACAAGAGAGAAAGAGAGGGCTATGGTTATGGTTATTAAAATTATCAAAATTTTTCTTAATTGATAGCTATAATTGATAAAATAATTAATACTTATTAGTTAACAAATTAAAATTAGTTTATAAAGATATTTTTAAATATCATAATTAACTATTAAAAATAGTGACTATCCATTTTACCTTCTAAAAATTAAGAAAATAATTATTTCAAAATTACATTATTTTAATAAATTCTCATTATAAAAAACTAAAATATCCTTTTTTTTTTATCTTTAAAATACCTTATTTTTAAAACATGAATTAAAATGTATTTTGTTTTTTCTTGCAATGCTTTATTAAAATGAAATAGTCTTAAGATAATTTTTTTCATAATTTTTAAATGATAAAACAAATAAATACTAATCCCTTAACTATTTAAGAAAATATTATAAACTAAATAAAATTAGTAATCTTAATGAAACTAATAGTGGCCATGAGCTCATCCCAAAAAAAAGCTTCAATTATCATTATTAAATACTACATATATCCCTAAAATCTATGTACCACGAGGTACTGTAAAACATAGTTATTTAAGTACAATTTTCAAACAAATAAGTAGATTTCAAAATCAGATCAAGTGGCTTTAACCACTCTGATAATGTTCAGCTTTCCCTTAAAAAAAAAAACAATTTTAGTCGGTCTCATGATTCAAAAAAAATTAAATAAATTTCCAAATAACAAAAAATCTAATCGCAAGGAATCTTTTTTTAAACAACTGCCAGCTTTTTTCCTATTGATATCAATCAGAAAGACCGTAATTTTGGGCTGGCGGGATCAATGATAAGCATTTCAATCAAATCAAGTCTTCAGTTCAATGATTTACGAGTTTTAATTCATCTTCTCTATTTTAGAGATATTTTGGTGATTTCAGTTTTTCTAATAAACTTTTGCATAGTTTTTTTTTTTTTTTTTTTGAGCAATTACCTTTTGTATGGTTTACATGAAAGCCTTCTAAAGGCATTGTTAATGTAAAGCCCTGAGTGTTGATTAAAAAGAAGAGTGAAGAGAAAGCATTGAGTCTTTATCAACCATTGACTATTGTTTTGGGGGGAAACAAATTTTCAGACAAGGTTGATTTTTATGGAAAAAGGGTGTAAGCACTAAGCACACACATAAAGGAATATAAATCAGCATAATAAAAATTTCAGAAGCAACTTAAGGATTACCTATATCTCATTTCTAGGAACTTGAAGACAACAAATAAAGTTAGAAGAAAAAAAAAAGAAGAAAAAAAAGAAGAAGAAATTATATAGCTATAGCATATGCAGCTTAATACATGTCTATAGTCAATATGTTTTTGTCCTTTGTTTTACAAACTTAAAAAACAGAGTTCGGGTTACTTGAGCCTTTCCAAGATCCTCAGCTTTCTTCAACTTTTCATTTATCATTTCCTGGGGTCCCAGAATCAGCTGCAGATACAGGCAATGGTGCCAAAGGTGGAGAGCTTGGTAACGGTTAAGGCAAAGATGCTCAATCTTTATTGAAAGCATCAGAAAGGGGCATGGACTATAACAATAAACAGAACATTATATATACTAAGAGACAAAGTGCTATCCAAGATTTCAGGAACTTTATGCATAGTTAATAACAAGGGAATCCTGAAATGAAAAACATTAGTGTTTTCAGTGATATCCTGATATATCAATTCCTAAACCTAAAGAAACTTCTTCAAAGTATCTATTTATCAACTCTTTTAGTTCTAAACTCTTCTACTTCTTTTAGAGCTCGCACTTTAAGATCTGTCTTGACTTCAAGATCTAATATTATATGCTTACTAGAACATTAAGTAATACTATTGTGGCGGCTTTCATATGGGCATTGAAATTTCAACCTAGTTCACCCCAAACTCTAGTTCTTCTTATTGAAAGGATAAGTTAATTAGGATATAAGAGGTTTTGTTTTCAAAGTTTTTCACCATGATTATAGATTATTAGTCATTGATCTAGCATTAAATTTAATTATTCAATGCAACTCTGGTGCTATCAATTTGTTCACGGCTGTCGAATATTTTTAACTACAAGACATTAGGATCCAAGTCTCATGTTTAGTTAAAATACTCTATTTCTGTCTCTCGACAAGGAACTTTGGAGATCTCTCTTGCAAAGCAAGGGTACAATTGTGCAGGAAATAGCTAGGAACTGGGAAGACCTTGTGAAGTGATTGTTGGATGATGGTTTCAGCATAATGTTGCCAGGAAGTCAGCTAAGTTCCTAATTTTCTTAGGGGCAGCGTCTAATTATTTGAAGGCGTTTGAATTGCCAGAAAGTTTTCTAGGCGTCTCTAAAATTTAACATTCAATGGAGGCCGCATGGTATCACCAATGAAATCATTTTTCCTTTTCTCCAATTCCGTTAGAGGTAAATCATTAATGTCAAGGGACTTCTTAAAAACTGTAGTCTTCACTTCTGCATCATATACACGAAACAAGAATCAAACCAACCCCCTTCTGTTTAAAAGAAAAATATATTGCCCATACCAGCATCGGTCAGACGACAGTCCGAGACAAAATAAGCTGCAAATTTGGGACCATACATGTTTAAAGCTCACGAACATACATAACGCTGGAAGCAAACACCATTGATGAAATGCAAAAACACAATCATCTTGCCTTCCACGGTACCAAGCGAAGGTTCATCTTTGTTCTTAGGATCATTTCAAATGCAGCATTCTCATTCCAATTAGGAGTATTACGTAAAATCAATTTTATTATAATCCAGCTGATCGACCAAATTCTCACAAAGAAAAAGAATGAAAACGCCTCTGCGCTTACCAAATTGGTAACACCTACAGAATGAGTTAGGCTAAAGAATGTACTAAGTCCGAGCAAATATATAGAATAAAACCCCAACCAATTGTAGCTTCTCTTCCACACACTTTGGACAACCTTACATCGAGCACAAGTGGTCAACACATTTTGATTCATTCCTTACCATAGCAAACTCACCCCGCATTTCCGGATTTTGTCCCTCAGATTTGTTGCTGTTCACTGGTTTTATTGTCTTTTAACCAACGTTTTCAAAAGCACCAATACTGTTCCTAGTCTGTTCATCTATATTCGGATCAAATTTTAATCCAGAAAAACCTGGGCGAGTTAGTAATAACCAATCTAAAAGGCTTAATTTGCGTTACAGAATAAGGGGTTTAACCATTTGCGGCAAGCAGCTAACAAAAAAAATGAAAAAACACTAGATTCAGTGCAAATTCTCAAAGCGCACTGTTCTTACACTATTCATGTCAAGTTACACGGCCAGCCGCGTTTTCAGTGAGACAAGAAAAAGCAAGCTTAAAGGAAAGGGGAAAGGGGCAAGGAGGATCATAGGGAGAAGAGAAAGAGGAGGCCGGTTGAGAGGGTGGCGTGGAAGAAGAGATTATGGAGGCACAGGAGAGGAGGTTGATGATCGAGGATTCGAGGGAGGTCTTCGCCCTCATCTTCTCCCACTGCCATTTGGGGTGACGATTTTCATTGCAAATCTTATTGTGCTGCAACTGCGAGTCCCATTTCTCAGATGCGATCCAATCCCACTCGCCACAAAAACCACGGCGCGAGACGCCGTGGCGAGTGGAGGACCGAAGGTCCAAGAACGAGGAATCGGATTAAAGACTAAAGGGCAAAACAGGGCAGGGAAAAAATCGTGAGTGGAAGCAGCTACGATGACGAGATGACCTGAGACTGAAATTGATTGGATAGAGAAGTTCCTGCACAAGAAAGGGAAGACGGAGGAGAAGGTGGAGAGGGTAATATGTGCCATGTTAAGTATTTTAGAATATTTATTACAAAATTTTAACTTAGTAACTTGGTTTCTGAATTTGTCTCTTATCTTCCATATATAGTGTTAGCATATTAGGGGAAACACCTGTATATTTCCAACGGTAAAATTTTGCTTTACAATTAAAAAAGGGTTTAATGTAAGAAATGATCCCTTTTGAAGTGGTGAGTGGTACTTTGCTTCACTATTTCTTAAGGAGTTGAGTTTTTTGGGTTGGTGAATTATACTTTATATGTTGTTTTTTTGTTTTATTGTTTATTGTTTTTCCATTTGATATAAAGTAACACCAAGATGGCAATTTGAATTTTAATAGACTTTCATAAAAGCAATTATTGTTTTCTCTGTGTGTGTGATTTTATGACAGATTATTCAGTTTCTAATGAGATATTGAGGATGAGTTCTGTGTGTTTAAGAGTTCCTCTCTCTTTTCTGTCTAGGTGACTGAGTGCAATAGGGCGAAACTAGGAGCTGAATCTGCAATGATGGTTTCAAATGGGGGTTTTGACTTAGACATTCTCTGTTCTCTCTAAAATAGACCTTTTGATCTCCTTCTCTAATGGTCTCATTCAAGATGGTGGTAAAACAAGAACCGTCTAACTTAAAATATTTAATAAATAATAAATCTTTGAACCATAGAAATTGACATTCTTTTTCTTTGTATTCTTCAATGTACATGGTATGATAGATGACAAATAGATTTTTCTGAGGGAGCTTTACTGTAGCAAATGTGTTTTCAGCAGAAAAAATCAATGGAAGAAAATTTGTGGGCTTATGTTCTGTTCTTTTTTTTCATCTTCATTCTTCTTTTATTAGTTTCTCATCTCTTCTACTTTGGTTTTTGATCTCTTCTACTTTGGTTTTTGATGAGCTTATGATTCGTTCTTTTTTTCCACTTCATTCTTCTTTTATTAATTTCTTTGGGTGTATTTTTCCCCCTTTTTGTTTCCTGTCTTTTTTTATGATTTTTTTTAATATATGATTTCTTTGTTGGGACAATCTGCCCTTATTCAAGTTTGCTAGGGAAGGCACAATGGCAAACAAAAATGCAGTTTTCATATGAATTTCTCTTTTAAATTTTTTTGGGGGATTTTTATACTGTTTGGAGTATGTGATTTTACTCAAATTAATTACAATTTTAAGATTTAAACGGAAGAATTTAAGGTGCTCTAGACTTTTTTAGTTACTTGATAGAGCACTAGAAATGAGAAGTACTGCTTGAGTGGCCAGATCTACTTTTCTTCTGCTTCTTTGAATCATAAAATCTGAGACTTAGATGAACTGTGTCATTAGGGGGTTTCATATTTGATGATTAATTCTGTTAATATTGCTGTATTCATTTTGCCAAGGGTTGTAGCTTATCAATATCTTTTTTTTCAATTTATCTACAACTACAAGTTGAGTTCATTAATGATATAATGGTTGTTTCTTTTCAAAATAGAACAAAAACCCTTACAAAAATGTCTGTTCTCTTAGACTCAAACATGAGGGTTTTTTTTTTCCTCCTTATAGATACAAGTCTATCCTGGAGAGATCATGGATGCAAATGAATTTGGTTGAAATCAAGAGGTTTTTAGTGAATTTATTTTTCTGCTAAAGCCACAAGTGTGAGTGAATATGGTCTTGGATTCAACATTTAATAAAATTCTAGACTAACAGTCGATGATTATTTTACTATACTTTTTGGTTTTAGTCATAATTCCAACTTTCAAAACCTTCACTCGAATTTAGCATTTGTAGCAGGTTGGTTTCCTTTTTCTTGCCTATTATATCTTATCAACTCGTTTTCCATATTAATTACTAATGTAATGCATTGTGGCAAAGGCAGTACAATGGTAGGGTTTATGCAGAGGACTCATAAACATACTCCTTTTTTTTTTTTTTTTCTGTTCTAGAATTTGTTTTCTTGCTTAACAACAATATCTATTGGTCAGTGATGGCAAAAGAAGAAAAAGTCAAAGGTTGGAAGGAATAATTCTATATAACTATTCTAACAAGGTACAGGCTATGAAAATGTAAAAATTTTAAGTCATGCCAGATAAAAGTAATTGAAAGACAATCTCCGTTCATTTTCATATTTAGTACAATCAGTTCTTTTGGTTTCCTTTTTATTATTATTTTTTTTTCAAATAATGCTTTTTAAAAGATCTGTGTCCGTGTAGAAGTTTGATGCTGTTGTCTTCTTAACCATTTATTTGTCTTTACAGAGCAAGGAGGATAAGTACTTTATAAACGATCACTTGAGCTTTAGAATCATGTTTCTCAGAGATCATGAGACTGACTCTGCTCAAATTGTCAGGTTCGAGGTTTCTCCAAACAGGTGTTGTACCAATTTCCTGACTGCCTTTGTCTAACTTTCCATACTTTTTCTGTTTTGACCTTTTTTTGAACTGTGTTCTTACTTCTAAAGTAGTTTGTATGCAATTATGGATTCGTCATTTTAGTTTGCAACTGAATAATCCTCTTAGAAAGAGGGGAAAGGAGAGGGTCCACTTTGAGCATGGCTAAGGCACTTTGTGAGCTTCAGTTGGAATTGCACCAGCAGTCTTCAAGTTTTGAGGTTGTTGAAGTTGGAAGAAAAACATGATGCAGGACTATAGTAGAAGCTAAGGGTGTGGATTTCATAATTATTGAACCCTCCCTCCATTCAACGAGGTGAGGTTCAGTTGAAATTGCACAAGTAGTCTTCAAGTTTTGAGGTTCGTTGTGAAGAGGTGGTATTGCTATTACCAATTCCTTAATGATTGAACCCTCTATTCCAATCCACGAAGGAGTCTTTTCTGCTAAATCCTCTTTGTGTTAGTTTGATTGCATTGATTTAAGTAGGATTATCTTCTAACAGGGTTAGGTGAAAAGGAT